ACAAGCAAAACTTCAAGATAACCCCAAGAAAAGCATTTTGATAGGAAAGCTAGGGCTGTCCCAGAAACATAGCTGAAGCTCACCAAGCCAACTCTACGCCAAGCGCTGACTGGAGCCTGACCAGGGCTGGCAGGCAGGAAATGTTCCAGAAGGAGAGTGGCAGTAACTTTTAGAAAGAGCCTCATCTGTAATGTTTACTGACTCTTATATTAATTCACTTTGCAAAGCTTGCCAGCCACTCTCTATGAGGAGGACACACTGTTGGCAACACTGGGCAGTCAGTGTGGTTTGTCTTCCTTGTCACAGGGTTTCCCCCTTGTTCACCACTGGGGCCACCCCTCCCTACAGATGCTCCTTGCCCCCGTCTTCACTCTGAATTATATCAATAGGCAATTGTATGTTTTGTTTGTGCAGTAGGTTGGCAGATGGGTCTGGGCAATTGCGTGTACACAGCTTTGGAGGGTCGGATTGTTTGTTACTATAGTTAACAACATGCATCTCCTTTATTCCAAGGCTATTAAGAAAAAGGCACATTCCTGCTTCCCTGCCTTTGTTCATGTAGGGGCCTGAAATACCTCCTTTCTTCATCAAGCTCTCCCTCACCCATTCTTCAAGACTTAGTTTTTGTGTCATCTTCTCTGTGAAGCCTCCCCCAGTTCTTGTAATTACAATTTTTCTTTTTGTCCTCTGTGTTTCTCCTTGACTTTTGTGTCTCCACAATAGTGCTAAGAACAGCTTGTCTTATGTTCTAATTATTTGTGTTGTTCTAACTTGCTTATTATGTTGTCAAATCTTTGAAGACAGGGGCCTTTTGCATTTGTATATCTCTTACATAGTTCCCTTTGCCTCAGCAAAGACTTAAAACATCAGTACTGGCAGAATTGGACTTTCAGTGAAAATGTTTTACATGTTGAAAATAAATCTTGTACGTTCACACATATGACCTTACTTCTTGAGGTAACACTTCTTTATGACTAATTAGGTAAGTGAAATGTAGAGTCTACTAGTAGCAGGTAAGTACAAGAACTAACTCTGAGAATCTTTTTTTTTTATTGAGTTTATTGGTACATTTTAGGTATACAGTACAGTTACATTCATCATTGGGATCTTGTACCTTTACATGACAAGACTTGGTTCTCATTTTTCCCCTTGTCCATGCCCTCTAATCAAGGCTAAATCAAGTCACAGAGTGAGTTTTCCATTTGACGCTAATAGATTCAAATGCTACTACACAGTGATCTGTTGTCTCCATTTCCCAATTTGTACTTCAGCATTTAAGTCATTGGACAAGTCATATAATATATGGTTCATACTAATGCACAACACTTGCTACTTTTTTAAAAAGAGCATTGAGTTAATGGTTCCATCATAATGTGAGTTGGTTTTATTGATTTTGTGCTGGCACTTGATTAATTATAAAGATAGGTGTCATGCCTTCCTTTTCTCTTCTCTGACTTAATATTCAAGTATGACTCATAATGAAGCTGATGTCAGCAAGACCTTTGCTCTCTGAGGATGCTATCATTGGCATCATACTGGTCATTGTATTTACTACGTTTGTTGCTGCCTCGTGATGGAGATTTTATTCTCAAAAAAACAAATTTATAAAATCATGCATTCATAATGTAAGCCAAGATGACCTTTGTATCACATTACCCCCACAGAGTTTTATTTTCTTTGATTAGTATGTGTTTGCAGTACACAATGATTACATTCCTTTTAGGAAATTGGTACATATACTTAAGCATCTTAATTCTTTTTTCATCCTTTCTCCTCCCCCTTTCCCCTCTTTCCATTTCTTGGTCCCCTTCCCATTTGCAAAAACAAGCATTGAGTGTGAACTCCATAAGAATTATTTCTTATACTTCATTATTCTCTTCCTCACCTCCTTCTTTTCCTTCTTCAACTTCTTTCTCTTATTTCTCCTTCTCTGTCTTCCTTCTCTATCACATACTCAGTAGTTAATAATAAATAGGAATTTTCTTTTCCATAAATTAAAAGTAGGATTGATAAAGAAACTTCTTTTTTTCCAACCATGTAAAATGTTCTAATAGATGTAGGGCACTGCATAGGACAAATGGAGGCTCTCCTGTCTAGGCTAAATATAAGCCTTTGATGTTAGGGCTTTAGGAAGGCATGTTGTCACACAACTGAATTGCTTTGTCCTGAATTGAAGCAGGGCACATAAATTCTAGTCTCAATTCTTCCATGAGCTACTTGTGCTTCCTTGGACTACCTGGATATTTTGCACCTTGGGTTTCTCATATTCAAAGTGCAGGAAATTCTATTTTCCCAACCCTTTGACAGAAACGGGAACTGCTGTGGCACAATATCCAAGGTATATGGGACAGCCAGGTAAACCCACAAAAATGCAAATTTCTGTACATTTGGGAGACAGTAAAATGTGAGGTGGGAGGGCTGGTGTGTGAGATCCTGTGTTCCATCTCCAGTACCATAAAAACAACAAAATGGCTGCATTGTAACATGAATGTGACTGAAGTCAGCTACAACATTGTGAGTTTGCTAGAAGCATTAGGGGATTTTGCCTTTCTAGAAAGCTGTCCAGCGGAAGAGTTATCCAAAGCCTTTTTGCAAAGCTTGGGTAGAGATGGAAACCCCTACCAATCAGTAAGGTTTTATTATCCTACAATAGGATATCATAGTATATAACAGATGTAAAAAATCATTGATTTCATCTACATTTTAGCATAATAATATGAGGAGCAATCTCCTTTATTCATAAATTTGTATTTTTGTTACCTTTCGGGGCCTCTGAATGCTAATATCTGTTGTCTATTACAACTGATTATTATTATTGCTTTTCAGTCTTATAAGTTTACAAAGCTTCTTAATGTTCCTCCTTATCTTCCTTAAAGAAGTTGAAGCAGAAACTGCCTTAGCTAAATTCTGATTATGTCATAAACTTTATACCAGGATCTATGGGAAGATACAGAGAGAGAGGGATAACTTTTGTCTTTATATTCAGTAATCTGAAATACATTGGATAGGACTAGGTAAGGATCCACAGAGGCACAAACAGGGCTTGACACAAAGTAGCAGTTCCCAGAGACAGCTAGTAGTGAGGTTTCCTTTCATTGTAAGCAAAAATAAAGGTAGCTAGTCAGGTTCAAGGGAAGCCTTGAACAAGAAGATATGGCAGAATTCTTCAGGGTCAAGGAGGTAGCAGGGGATAAAACAATGCAGAGACACTTGGTGTATCAATACTAAGGGCTCCAGATTTTATTGAACCAAGGCCCAAGGTACTGGCAGGGAATCTGCAGCAGGGCTCAAGCCATATAGCTTGTTATTGGATCTGTTGGTATCATATGCTACCTGAATAATAGGCATGATCCATATTAGATCACTTACATGTGATTAACAGTAGCTTCCATGTCACCTAAAAATTCTCCACTCATAAGACTAAACTGAAATGTTTCTAAGTAACTCACTCCATAGGACAGTGAGCTTCATGAAATCATAGTCTGCGTCTTATTCATCTCCGTCTCCCTAGTGTCTAAACATTTGTGTTACTGAATGGTTAAAAGTACAGTTTTTGAAGTTATATAGATCTATATTTTGATTCATTGTTTCCACTTGGGAAATTTACTTACTGTCTCTGCGTCTCAGATTTCTCATCTCTAAAACAGTGATGACAACAGTAGCAACTTCTAGGGTTTGTTGTGAGTATAAAATGAGATGACAAATCTGGAAGTACTCAGCAGTTCAATCCCTGGTACAAAAAAAGAAAAAAGAAATACGTTAATCTATTTGATGAGGTTGGGACTCTAGATTGAGAAGAAGCTTAAAAAGAGTGACCCAGGAAGTCTTCCAAATCTCCCTTCTCTCAACATCTAATAGATGATTGGGAAACTGAAACAATGAGGGATAATCTTTAAGCATCCTTACCTTTGTGGAAAGCTTACAATCTTCTTGGCTGGGTGATGAGAGATTGTATAGACCTTGGGTGCAAGATGATGTCACTAATATAAACATTTTTCAAATGTAACATATTGCTCTCTGTACCCAGCAAGCTGTGCCTTGAGAAGTTTGGGATAATTAGATGCTTTGAACACTTAAAAGCTAAGGAGTAGGATAAGCGTGTCTTGACTCTCTGGTTTCTCCCAGAATTTCACTGATGTGCTGGAGTAATTATCAACTGTAATTAGGGAAGCTGAGAAGTCACCTACATTCCCAGGACCTTCATTTCTTTGTTCATAGAGGGGACTGGAAATACTATCTCTATTGTGAAGAAGCAGCAATATATAGGATACCAAGGGACAGGAAAGGTCCATGGGAACATGGCTTTACCAGAAAAGACTCAAAGTTATGTGACTCATTGCTCTTGATGAAATTTCAACTGGTCAGCACAGTTTCCTCCTCCTGGTTTCTCATTGAAGAATGTTATTCTGTGATACTACCTAGTTCTGGGCTCTTTGTTAACAAAACTCCAGTTGTGTGTGTGTGTGTGTGTGTGTGTGTGTGTGTGTGTGTGTAAAGCAGTTAAGAAATGATGTTTTTCTTTTAGAAAAAATATACCTGAAGAGAATGATTTCCACCTCTAAGTTATCTGCAGAGTCTATCCACTGGAAGCTGAAGGAAATCTTTCTCATCTGCCTTGGCCTACACTCCTGGCCCCAGAGTTGGGCCAGTAGTGCTCTGTCTTTGAGGTTCTGAGAAAAGGTATCATGTGTAGGGCCATCTGCTGACTGACTTCCCTTCAGAGGAGGACATTCCGTTTGGACATGGTCTCATTCTCACTCTTGATTAGATAGAAACAAGATACCACACAGGACACACAGAGAAACAATGGTACCTGCATCTTCACTCACTATGAAGTGTGGTGCCAACTATGAATGTGGAAGGTGTTTTGAGAAAAACAAGATCCTCAGAGGCTGGAAATGATGGTTTAGGTGTGAAGGTTTTCCCTTTACCAATGTGCTATGAACTTCATTGTCACAAGAACATCAAATATCAATCCAGTGTTTCTGCTTTTTACATAGGTAACCTGTCTCCATGATTTCTTTGGTGATGATGATGTGTTTATTGCCTGTGGTCCTGAAAAATTTCGCTATGCTCAAGATGACTTTTCTCTGGATGAAAATGGTAAGCACAACCAGTGAGTTTTATTGCCCCATTGTTCTCTCTTTTATCCTTTAGGGTTTCCATGGATATATGTGGCCTGGAGAACATCCAAACATAATCCCTCAAGGGCAGGTATTGTGTTTCCCTTGTACATTTGGATACATGGGTCATTAAATGAGAGGTTGACTAGATGTCCCAGAAGCCCAGTCTCCAAACTCAATAAAATTCACCATCTGTCCCAATAGTAACTATATTTCTCGAGCCACATATTATGTCACATGATCCAATAAGCACAACCGGATGCCAGGAAAGAACATTTGGAGTCAGAAGTTGGAAATTGTACCTACATGATTTTATAGTCAACATCTTATAGCTATTTGGCCCATGTCAATTGATTCATTAAAAAATTTTGTACTATATTCTTTATACCAAATGTATTTTGTACCTGCTTTGTGATTCAGAATTCCAGAGGATCCTTCATCTCAGGAAGGACCTGAGCATTTGCCCTTCTATCTACCTTTGCTTAACTCTAAGCTTCAGGTACTCTGTAAGTTAAATGTAAATTAGCTCAAACAGTAACAATATTAGGATGTGAAATGATGAAAAGTTACATTCAAAATGTTTTCCACTTAGGAGGAATAAAATTTGAGAAAACCAAGAGGAGCTTTGCTAATATATACTTTATAAAAAGCTCAAGTGACAAAGACCTTAAAAAGATGGCATTTGTGCTATTTCCCTTTGTTTTTGTGGCAAATGACCATAAAATAGCTAAACAAATCCAGGCTTTGTCCAATTTCCTATGCCTTCTACATCTTCAGCTCTGAGCAGAGAACACTAAACATCATCAACCAAAACAAAAAGTAAAACAAATAAAAACTGACTTTCCTCTCAATTCAGTTTTCTAAAGAGCTCAGTTTACCAGAATAACACTTGCTCTTTCTGGTTAATTTAAATTTCAGTGTACTTTTAACATAAGGCAGCAAGAAGGTGTCTAAAGAAATAACTATACTGTTTATCCTATTTACCCAGCTGTTTTATTCCATGTTTCATATCATAGCACAAGGTTAGGAAAACCATAGTGGAAAGAACACTAGATAGGGACTCAAGAAACTCAGTTTCTAGTCTTGTAATGCTACTTTCTTGTTTTATAGGTCTAAGTAAGAGAGCTAATTAAGATTTTTTCCTCATTGAGTTTATTGGTACTTTTTAGGTATAGAGCATAGTTACATTCATCACTGGGATCTTGTACTTTTACATGACAGGTCTTGGTTCTCAATATTTTCCCATACCCCTTCCCTCCCTTCACCCCCTCCTACCTTCCCCATTTACAAAAATGTTTTAAATTCTTTGTGTGCTTATCAGGAAAATGACTATAATGATTTGCCTGATATATTAACACTATCAATGCTCCAAATTATCATAGCAGGGGATGCTGAGTGACATGCATAGAGAGTGCTTCAAATGTATCAGACTGAGGCTGGAGCAAATGCTAGAATATTTGGCAGACTCTCCTACAACCCATGTGTATTCTCAAATTATAAGTGGCAGAGACATTGTTGTCCCATTTATTGATTAAATCAGCATAAGGGACTATGATAACATGCATTAAAACTCTCAAAAATCCATAGCTTTCTTGTATACAAATAACAGAGTCACTGAGAGAGAAATTAGAGAAACAATACATTTCACAATAGCATCAAAAAATTGAAATATCTAGGAATCAATCTAATGAAGGAAATACCTCTACATTAAGAGCTAAAACACTCTGAAAAAAGAGTTGGAAGATGATATAAGAAAATGGAAATAGATCCCTTGTTCCTATGTAGGAAGAACCAATATAGTGAAAATGGCCATACTTCCAAAACTGCTATGCAGATTCAATTCAATCCCAATTGAAATCCCAACAGTATATTTCACTGAACAATACAAAAATTCATTTTAAACCACAAGAGACCTAGAATAGGAAAAGCCATCCTAGACAACAGAGACATGGCAGGGGGTATCACAATCCCGAACTTGAAACTATACTACAAAGCCGCTGTGAAAAAAACAGCATGGTACCGGCAAAGAAACAGACCAAAGGATGAGTAAAATAGATTAGAAGATGCAGGAATAGCTCCTGATGTATGCAGCTACCTCCTCTTTGACAAAAAAGTCAACCATCCTCCATGCAGGAAAGATAACCTCTTTAATAAATTGTGTTTGAAAAACTGATTTCAACTTGCCGAAAGATTAAAACTAAACCCCTCTCTTTCACCATGCACTAAATTAGAATCCAAGTGGATTAAAGATCTAAATATTAAAACAGAAATACTAAATTTGTTGGAAGAAATGTTAGGTAGAACTAATGAAGACATTGGCATGGAAAAAAGAGTTTATGAACAAAATTTCAGTAGCACAGGAACTATTGCAAAGAATCAATCACTCGTATCTCATATTTTAAAAAAGCTTCTGCACTGCAAGACAAACCACCAACAGAGCAAAGAAACAACGTACCACATGGGGAAAATCTTTACCAGCTGCTTTTCAGACAAAGGTCTACTATCCAGAATACATAAAGAACTCAAAAAAATCAGAGCCCCCAGGTTTATAAACCCAATTCAAAAATGGGTATCTGAAATGAACAGACATTTCTCAAACAAAGAAGTAAAAGCAGCAAATAAACATATGAAAAATGTTCAACATCACTGGTCATTTGAGAGATGCAGATGAAAAACAAGAATGAGATTCCACCTCAACCCAGAAAGAATGGCTGCTATCAAGAAACCAGCCAATAACTAATGTTGGTGGGCTTGTGGGGAGAAAGGAACCCTTCTCCATCACTGGTTGGGACTGCAGAGTGGTGCAACCACTGTGGAAATCAATATGGAGATACCTTAAACAACTAGGATTACAAGTCCTATGTGATCCAGCTATTCCCCTGCTAGGTATCTTTCCAAAAGAATTAAAAGAATCATACCACAGTGATATATGCACACCCATGTTTATAGCTGCACAGTTTGTAATAGCTTAAACTGGGAAGCAGCCCAATTGCCCATCAACTGGAGACTGGGTAAAGATGTGTTTTTCTTCCTATAAAATGGGGTCCTACTAAGCCATGAAGAATGAGAAACTACAGACATTTATAGCTAAGTGGATGCACATTGAGGACATACTCTTAAGTGAAATAAATATGACACACTTGTGTAAATACCACATAGTGTCTATGGTGTGATAAACTAAAAGTGTAAAGAAGAATCAAAATGTATAATTGTTATTGTGTAATAGGAAAAAATATCTAAAGGTGTAGGGGAAGTGGGACAGGTAGGGGAAAGAAAGCTAAGAAGGGAAAAAAATAAGAAAAGAAAAAAGTGGAAGCAAAGTCTCTGTAAATAGGGAAAGGTGAAGGGAGAAAAGGGATGGTAGGGGAATGGGGAGAAAAAGAACTAAGAAATGTGATGTAGAGGTGCAAGATACCAATGATGAATGTAACTGTATTGTATTTCTAAAACTTACCAATAAAAAAAGAAAAAAAACTTGAAAAAACTATAAATGCAAGATGGTGCTGGTGGCAGTGCTTATTTATGTAAAATGACGTGACAGTCATAAGGTGAGTGAGTATAGAATGTTTGGCATATAAAAGGCAATGTTTAGTAACATCCTAACCATTCTTGAAATTACTCGTGAATGTTTTATCTGTGTAGCTGTACCCTCTGAGATGTCAAGCACTACTGCAAGGGAATTAGTTAAACCTTATACCCAAAGGTTCTATTCTAAGACACCTATACAGTATTTCTCAAATGATTGTGTTGAATTATTATCTACTTGTCCTATTTCTGAAGTCTGACCCTTATTCTGTAATCCAGGGACTTAAACATCTAGATTAGCCAAGGTGGCTTTTGACAGTTTTCCTAATGCCTCCCTCCACAAAGCCATGGTTCCCACGAAGAACGAGCACCACCTTTTAGTCCTGAGACACTGAGGTGTTTTGGCCTGTGATGATTATTCCAGTTCCCCAAGTCTAGTAACATGTTGAGCCTCAATTCTACCCTCTGCTAAACTGTCTATATTCTTTTGCTTCAGAATGCAGAGTCATGAAGGGAAACCCATCAGCCACAGCTGGCCCAAAGGCATCCCCAACACCTCAGAAAAATTCAGCCAAGAGTCCTGGCCCTATGCGCAGAAGCAAGTCTCCAGCTGACTCAGGTAACGACCAAGACGGTGAGTGCTCTTCTCTTAACTGTGCACGTTCACTTCATTTATGGAGGCTGATGCCCTCTGCATGCAGAGGAATGAGTTTCTCATGGTCACTCACCCCTGTGTCTCCATGAATACCAATTCTATCATTCCATACACTGGAAGAGCCAAATTTGTTTGGAGTTATGCAGGCACAGCTACCATCTTTATTCTACTCAAATGGATTCAGACCAGAAATTTGTCCTATTTGTCATGGGTTCTATAGTGCTTATTGTCATGGGTTATTATCTTCAACATCATCCAGTAAAAATACATTCAATGAAATGAAACAAATGTAATCATGAAATCAAAAATTAGACTCTAGGACAAGAATGTAAAAATAGACACCCAAAATATCAACCTTAGCTGACACACTCAAGCTTTGGATTAATGAGATGGCATAAGAACAAGTACACCATTTGACTAAAGACAAGCAATTTTTAAAAATGAGAGATAAGATAAATTGCATCCTTCTCACAATGGGAAAAGAAAGCACACACTAAGTTCTGAAACACGTATAGATTTATCATAAAACATTTAGCATATTATAAATAATCCATAAATTGTGGTCTATGGATTATGGCCAACACATGAGCTGTTTGTTATCAGTTTGTGATGAGAATAAAACTTCTGCCAAGTGTAACTTAACTGTCACTAAGCAAACCGTTTAGATCAGCTGACTTTATTTTCCAGAGCATTATTTCACTGATGAAGGCAGCAGAATGTTGATTTACACTCTGCCAGAAAATCTTTCTCTTGTCTTGGTCCTACAGTTTGAGGGGCACTCCTGTAAAAGGAAATGTTTTCCTTTTTTAAAAAATGACAAATGTTAAAAGTAAAAGACCACAGAAGTCCAAGTTCAGAAGCTTTGTAGACCCAGGCACAGATAATTTGAATTCTTCACAATAAAGAAATTATGTGGCTCAGATGACTTATACATTTGTCCTCCCAAGGCTCAGCATTCATCATGAGAATTTGAGCCTGAAAACCTTTGGAAAGTATAAGAGCACTTTAATTTGGGGCAATTTGAACAGCTTATTGGCTTTGAAATGCATGTGCCTAGAAAACCACCCTATCCTGCCTGTCTCACACTATGAGGAGTATGTATATCACCAGCCATTTTCTTATTCTCAGGCAAAGGAAACTGAAGTGTGACAAGGCAGCCCAGGATTTTCATATTTCCATGTCTTTGCCTACCCCATTCCCCATGCCTATAATGCCATCCATCCAAAGCACCACTCTGCTTGAAAACTCCTATCCATCCTTCAAGACCTCGTATAGAGATAGATTTTTCTGTTCTGTGTAATATCATAGCATGCTACTCATATCTCTGGGATTATGTTCATCATACTGTGTTTTATACTGTGTGTTTGTCTACTTTCCCAGCTAAATACTGAGCCCCTCAAGGTCAAGGTTCCACATTCATTTTTATCTCCCCAGTGCTGAGCACAGTTCCTGGCCCCAGTAGGTGCTTAAGTAATGTTTCTGAAAGAATAGATGCATAAACGCACCTATTTCACCAAGCATATTGCTAGATACCCAGTGGCCATTTAGGCAATGTTTACTAAAGGAATGAAAATTCATGTGCTTTGATTACCTCTTGTTCAAGTGTGCAGAAGAGCACACGAATCTATCTAAGCAAGTTCATATTATTAAAACTACAGTGATTCAAATTTTGACAGTGGGAATGAGATGGAAATTCTTTAGACAGTTTCTAAACAGAGACTTAAAGAATTTTAAACATCTGTTCAGGATTTATAAAGACTGGCAATAATTGCTTAATTAATGATTTTTTCAGAAACAGCAATATTTTGGGGACTTCTAACTGTATTACTTATATCTTGGTGTGAAACAAATTTCCCGAGACTTAGTAGCTTAAAATAAGCTTTCATCATCTCACATTTTCTGTCATGCAGGAATTCTGAAGTAACTTACTTCGGTAGTCCTAGCACAGTTCTCTTTTTTTGTTTTGCAGTAAGGATTTTAGGAGAAACTTCAAATATCTGGAGGGTCAACTGGGACTGTAGAATCTACCACCAAAATGAGTGTTAGTAGGATCTCCCATTCAAGTGAGTGATTCAAGTCAATGAAAAAGAAGATGCAGGGCTTTTATAATCTAAACTCCAAAGACAAGTTGGCATTTCTGATTTATTCTAAAGATTAAAGTCTAACTCTAGCTTACTTTTGAGGAGAGAGAAGTTAGACTCTACCCCATTCAAGGGAGATATTAGATAATTTGTGGAACTATTTATTTATTTATTTATTTATTTATTTATTGTCCTCATTGAGTTTATTGGTACGTTTTAGGTATACAGTAAAGTTACATTCATTATTGGGATCTTATTACCTTTACATGAAAGGTCTTGGTTCTCATTTTTTCCCCCTTGTCCCTGCCCTCCCTTCACCGCTCCCCCCCTCCTGCTTTACAAACACTTTATTTCCATTTTTTCATTTTCTCCTAATTTTTTCTTTTCTCTTATTACCTTTCTCCTACCCTTCCCACTTTCCCTACACTTTTAGCCCTTTTCATCTTTGTTCTTTTCTAGGACGTGCAAGTATTACTACCCTATTTCCATTTTGTATTAGTCTGCCTTCAATCTGAAACTTGTATAAGGATCCACATACCTTTATTCAAGTCGAGTAACTAAAAGTTGTGGAAGATAAGGATATTTACCTACCTTCCAGGACATGTTAACTACCTTCTTTTAAAGGCAAAAGAAAGCCAAATATGTTCTTGTACCAAAGGAAACATTGGCTCAAGTTTAGATAAAATAATATTTTGATGTTTTGACTTATTAGAAAACATAGGTATACACACATTTTTGGTTCAATTTATGGTTCAGTTAATATCTGGGTTTAGTTTGACTTGAAGTACATAAATTGTTTCTATGATGCTATTTGTGTCATAGTTTGATTTCTCAATCTTAAGTCATTTGCATTGTCTTCTTGCTGTTCTGCCTGTGAATAAATAGAAATGCTAGTTTCCCATCAAATTTGATCCCCATTCCTGCCAGTATTGAGTTTATCTCGAATAGAATGTCTGGCACTAAACCCTAAACTCAAATTAAGGAAGGATTTAATTGTCTATAACGTATTCCTGTAAGTACCTCATTCTCACTGAGTGGAGCTGATGAACTTCAGAATCCAAGCCATATTAGTCACGGGAGGGCAGGGACAAGGGGAAAAATGAGAACCAAGACCTGTCATGTAAAGGTACAAGATCCCAATAATAAATGTAACTGTACTGTGTACCTAAAATGTACCAAGAAACTCAACGAGGAAAAAAAATATTAAAAAAAATAAAGACATATAATCAGATTTTCAAAGAAAAAAAAATAAAACAGGCCAGGAAACTGTGGTAAGCAGATAAAATCTGAGCCTACTATTGTCCTTCACAATATTGGAGAATGTTTGAGTAGTGCTACATTTTGATTAACCTAAAATTTGCCATTTCAATAGGCAAAGTTAAACCTTGCTTTAAAACTAAAGACATTTCTAGTCTGTCTCTGTTCCCATTTCAGTCATTATAGTGTTGATATTTCCTTTATGTAACTTTCCCCACAATTGAATTGAACTGAATTAAGAGGACAAAGTAGCTAGTTGCTGGCAAGAAATATTTTCTTTCTTTCTTTTTACGAGCCCCAAAGAAGCTAATTACCTACCCTGGTAGGCTGAGAGAATTGTAATATGACAATTAGTTTGCTGTTCTGACCTTCTTAAGTGTGAATTTCTAGTCCAGTTCTGTCCAACAGATATATAATGTGAGTCACAAACCCAAGTCTTGTATGTAATTTTATTATTTGTAGTAGTCATATTTATAAAAATTATAGGAAACGGACTAAATTTATTTTTATGCATTTTGGCAACACATAAAAAATATTACTGTTTCATCATGTAAGTAAAGTAAGAAATTATTTAGATGTATACTTTTCCTTGAAATTGAGTTATACTTTACACTTATTAGGACATCTGAACTCTCATAATCTCATTTCCAATGGTCAATAACACCATGTAAATAGTGACTATTGTATTAAACAGCACAAAAATACCTTTCTTCTCCAACTAAGACAGGTACAAGATAATAACCCTTCATATTAATTAAATGCTGTGCACTTTTCAAAAACGTTTCCATCACATCCACTGTCCCTCATGATACCACCACAAATTAGTTCTGAAAAATTATGATTATCCAGTTTTCTTTAAAGAACTAAGATGCAATGAGGTTCAGAATCTTGATGTTTTCTTGATGTCACATAACTATTTAGCAGTTAAGAGCTATAACCCATCTCTCCTTGCTTCCAAGCAAGCTTTCTTTGCAGTATGTCACTGACATAAGGCAGGGTGTAGCAGGTCCAGTGTCCTGAATACTGAGGTATTTTTTTGCTAATTTTCATTTTTTCTGCTTCCTCCCCCTTTCTACACCTCCAGGCCAGGGATGTAGGAAGGCAAGGAGCAGTGCGATGTCTATGTTGTTTTATTTGTGTGGCATAGAGCACAGTACTACAAGTAATCAGGTGCTTTATTTTCAGTGTTCTCTCCTAGATATTCCACCAGCTCCCCTACTGTCACTGCAAGGAAAATTAGTGCCCTTGGCAGAGCTATAAAAAGATTAAAAAATAAAAATTTAGTCCCTTCCCACAGTCTGATTCTGGGAGAACTGCCTTATGCGTCAGACAACTTTTGGGTTGTCACTGGAGAGTCCCTTAGGAAGCGGTTGGAGCAAACAGTAATAGTGAAGGCTCCTGTGTACTCTGTGATGCATGGTGTTGCCTCCCTCCAACAGGAGTCCAATCAGCTTGCCATAGCTGGGGATTTGTCTTTAAACATGACTGAATCTCCAAAGTTTTGGTGGAGTACTCAGTAGTGCTAAGTTCTTTAAAGCAAAACAATTAGACAAAAACTTTGTCACCTAGAAGTTTTATTCTATTTGAGGAACCAGTATGCATATAAATTAAAAATTCTCATTTAAAATACCTATATGGTTT